ACAAAAAAAAAAAATTAAAAAAAAAAAAAAAAGGAAAAATTGCATGTATCACGCGTAAAAGGTCGTTTTATCATATTTCTTATTTTAAAAAGAGGTCGTTGGGAGAACGAATTTCAGTGAATTCCGCGGATTCGATTTTCCCTTGGTTTGGTGGGTGAGAGAGTTTGCGCGTCTCCGGGCGCACTGCGCGGGAGTTGAGAGAATGTGTGTACGTGATAGAGAGAAAGAGAAAATGGGACGAGCCGCATCGGGTATTCGCGTGGTACGTTTTGCATTTCCGTTATACTATGACGGTAAATCGTACGGATTGGAATAAAGCGTGCCTAAAGAAGGTTGCTCGTCGATCCTTGGTCACGCATTTGCTGGAGGAGCATTGGTAGTATCGTCCTCGTTGCTCAATCCAATTGGTTTAACTCGTAAATCGAATTGACGAGCTTTAGCAGCCCAAACTTCTCCGTCGGCTAGCACCCTAAAAAGGAAAATAAAAGAATCATCGAATTTTTATAAAAAAAAAAAAAAAAAACAAACAAACAAACCTATTGGAATAATTACAAGTAATAATTACCGTCTGGTATTGTCGCTAACTAGACTGTCGGGTGCACCGTAAACGGGTGGATTGGCATAAGGATCATAACCGAGAACGGAAAGCATCGGTGCAATGTCTGGCATTTCCCTGACTACATCATCAGGAATGTTGCCCACCCATTTGGTCAAAGCTTCTAGATTAACCGGCTTTATTATCTGATCGGACGATCTCTCGACCCTGCATAATTGAACAAAGAAAGAAAAAAAAAACAGAAAAGAACAAAAAATAGAAAAAGAACAAAACCCCATTACGATTAGATAGAATTATTGGCAACGTTCGCATGTATGATAATTTTCATAGAAAGTTAACACACGTTTGTCTTTTTTATTTTGTTGTGTTACTAACTTGCTCAGAGGCACGCCGCCAGGTTTGTTAATAAATTCCTCGTGATGCATAACCGATTCGTTCCAAGGCACGTCCAAAAAATGTAAAATCTTTTTCATCCATTGCCTCGGATGTAAAACCAGTTGTTCGTAAGGTACCATCAAACATCTCTCCGATCCAACTTCCCGACATTGTCCATACATTGCGGAAATAGCGTGATTCCATCTGATCAATGATTGACGATAAGACGTCAGATCGAAGCCGGTGATGGTGACCTAGAAATGAATAGAGAACGTACGTACGTTCGTTCGTTCGTTCGTTCACTCGTTCGGGAAATTCATCGAGTAGGTGGAATAGAAAATTCTATAATAAATTTCTTTACCTTTCTCGAGATAATGGAGTGAACGGTGGCTCGACCATCTCGTACCATAAAAATAAACTTTGCGTTAGGGAAAAGTTCGAGCATGTAGGAGCCCATTTTCAGGGTTAAGGGATCTTTGTTGCATAATCTAGCAGCTGGTTCCGCATGACGAGCTATTATCTCCAAACAAAACGCCGCTATTGCGCTGTCTATCACCTATAAAGTAATTTTATCTCAGTAATAAATAAGCTTAAATTGATTAGATTCGGCTCAGAGCACACGAACAATATCTAGTTTTTACTCGGTAATTATACGGAAGTGTATATACATATATATATATACTAAATAGTTACTTACATCTTTGGAGATACCAGCTTCCGTGAGCCGTAGATTTTCTCTCTCGGATTTGGACCAGTGCATCTTCATTTGCAGTATCCGCGGTATAACTCTGGTCTCTTGACCGCACCTAATGTTCGAATTAAGCTCTATCGGACGATGTCGTTGGTTGACGTGCATTAGATATGCGCGATTGGAGGCGAAAATCGATTTACGAGCGTCGGACGAGAGAAGGGTGGATAAATTAGAATAGGAGAATAAAACGTTTAACATGCCACGTTTCGCCTTGCACAGGCAACTCTTATAAAACATTCTTACATTGAAACGTGAATTTTCAAAGAAACAAGTAAATGGTGATAACTAACTAATCCTCTCTCTATCTCTCTCTTTCTTTCTTTCTTTCTTTCTTTCTTTCTTTTTCTCTCTGATGAGATTTCGTAGAAAAAGAAACAAGAAAAAAAAGGAACTTCGTTAAAAATGTATACTCAATTTAATTGACTTTCAAGTCGTTCGTTATTCTTTTTTATTTTTTTTTGTTTTTTTTTTTCGAAAAAAGAAAAGGGAGAAGCCAGAGAGGAGATTTATTTACCGATTTGTTAGGAGGAGAAGGAGGAGGACGGGGGGGGGGACCGATGAGAGAAAATGATTGCTAACGACCGACTGCACTCACCTCACGTCGGGATGCGCATCGAGCATGGCGCGCATCAAGGTCGTGCCTGATCTCGGCACGCCTCCGATGAAAATAAGCGGCATGTATCGATCGTAGGTGTAGGTTTTATGGTCGAATGGTCCAATAACGTATTTCTGAAAGCGAACGATAGAAATACATTCATATGTGCGTGAAAAAAAAAAAGACAAAAACAGAGAAAAAGAACAAATAACTTGGACTCTAA